TTATTTTGTTCAAAATACTTTCTAATCTCCCTTTTGAATTCTTCTTTGAGCCATGGGTTAACGAAGTATTTTATTAAATTTCTAAATATTTTGGGGGGTTTTCCAGATATCTTTCTGCTGATTTGCAATATAATTCCAGCGGTTACAGAGCAAACGTTGTATGACCTGAATTCTTTACTGAGACTTGCATTATGACTCAGAATATGTTTATTTTGATAAATATTCAGTGTGTGCTTGAAATGAGTGTATATTCTGCTATTCATTTAAGTATTCTGTAAATATCAATTAGGTTTATTTGGTTGATAATGTTGTTTAAATCTTCTATTTCCTTACTGATATTGTTTTATCAAGTTTTCTGAGAGAGGTATTGAAATATCCAACTATAATCATGAGTTTATCTAATTGTCTTTGCAAGTCTATCAGTTTTTTTCATCTATTTTGAGGCTCTGTTACGTATAAATATTTAGGATTGCTCTGTCCTATTGATGAATTGACTGCTTTATCATTTTGAAATGATAATGATCTTTACTTGTTAACATTCTTTTCTCTGAAATCTACTTTCTCAGATATTAATAATAGTCACTCCAGCTATCATTAATTAGTGTCATCATGGTATGTCTTTTTTCCATCCTTTTCCTTTAATCTATTTGTGTCTTTATATTTGTAGTGTGTTTCATGTTGTCAGCATATGGTTAGGTCTTGACTTTTTAAAATCCAATTTATCAATCTCTGTCTTTTAATTGGAGTATTTGACATTTACACTAAATATGATTATTGATAAAGTTATGTTTAATTCTACCATCTAGCCATTTGCTTTCTGTTTGTCCCATGTGTTCTTTCCTCCCCATTTTCTTCTTTTTCTGACTTCTTTTGGATTAACTATTTTTGTGATTCCATTTTATCACTTTTACTGGCTTATTAGCTATAACAACTTGCTTTGTTATATTAGTGATTTTTTACAGTTTATAGAATAAATTTTAGCTTCTAGTGTACTTTTATGCGATACAATGCTTCACATATGGTATTAGAACCTTCCAATAACATACATGTACTTCTGTTTATCCCCCTCTGGTTTTTGTGCTATTGTTATTGTACATTTTACTTCTACATATGTTATAAGCCCCAGACTACATTGTTATTTTTGTTTAAGCAATCCGTTATCTTTTAAAGAGATTTCAATAATGCCTTAAATATTTACTCATAATTAACCATTTCTGATGTTTTTCTTTCCTTTGTTTAGGTTCGATTTCTATCTAGTATTATTTTTCTTCTGCCTGAATGACTTCCTTTCACATTTATTGTAGTTGCCGGTCTGCTGGTGATGAATTCTTTCAGCTTTTGCATGTCTGAAAAAAAAAATCTTTATTTTGCTTTGTTTTTGAAAGATATTTTTGCTGGGTATGAAATTCTAGGTTGGCAGGGTTTTTTTCTTTCTTTTAGTACTTTAAAGATGTTTTCTGCTATTAATGCTTGCATTGCTTTGATAGGAAATATACTGCTATGCTTATCTTTATTCCTCTGAACATAACATTTGTTTTTTTTTCCTCTGGTTTTTTAAAAGATATTCTCTTTATTACTAGTTTTGAGCCATGTGATTATTGTGTGCCTTGGTTTGGTGTTTTTTTTTTTTTTTTAATGTTTCTTATGCTTGGTAACTCTTTGAGCTTCTTAGATCTGTGGTTTATAGTTTTCATCACATTTGAAGAATTTTCAGTCATTATTTTTTTGTCCCCCCCCTTAGGGGCTCCAATTTCACATATATTAGGTAAATTGTTGTCCTACACTTATGCTGTTTTTCTTTTTTTATTGTTCTTGAAGTGAAAGTTTACAGTTCAAGTTAGTAGATTCTCATACAAAAATTTATACAAACATTGTTATGTGACCCTAGTTGCTCTCTCTATAATGTGACAGCACACTCCTCCTTTCTACCCTGGATTTCCCATGTCCATTCAGCCAGCTCCTGTCCTTTTCTGCCTTCTCATCTCACCTCTGGACAGGAGCTGCTCATTTAGTCTCGTGAATCTACCTGAGCTAAGAAGCACACTCTTCACGAGCAACATTTTTTGTCTTATAGTCCAGACTATTCTTTGTCTGAAAAGTTTGGCTTCAGGAATCGTTTTAGTTTTGGGCTAACAGAGAGTCTGGGGGCCATTTCTTCCAGGGTCCCTCCAATCTTAGTCGTACCATTAAGTCTGGTCTTTTTACTAGAATTTGAGCTCTGTACCCCACTTTTACCCTGCTCTGTCAGGGACTCTCTGTTGTGTTCCCTGTCAGGGTGGTCATTGGTGGTAGCCGGGCACCATCTGATTCTTCTTGTCTCAGGCTGATGGAGTCTCTGGTTTATGCGGTCCTTTTGTCTCTTGGGCTAATATTTTCCTTGTGTCTTTGGTGTAATTTTTCTTTGCTCCAGGTGGATTTGACCAATTGATGCATCTTAGATGGCTGCTCGCTAGCTTTTAAGACCTCAGACGCCACTCACCAAGGTGGGATGCAGAACATTTTCTTAATAAGTTTTGTTATGCCAATTGACCTAGACGTCCCCTGAAAGCATGGTCCCCAGACCCAAGCCACTGCTACTCTGTCCCTTGAAGTGTTTGGTTGTATTCAGGAAACTTCTTAGCTTTTGGTTTAGTCCAGTTGTGCTAACATCCCCTGTAGTGTGTGCTATCCTTCCCTTCACCTAAGATAATTCTTGTCTACTATCTAGTTAGTGAATACCCCTCTCTCTCCCACCCCACCCTCGTAACCAATTCTCTCTTTATCTTTGGTTTTGGCAAGTTTGATTCTAATATGTCTTGGTGACTTTCTTTTGGGATCTACCTTGTGCAGGGTTTGATGAGCTTCTTGGATGGCTATCTTCTCATCTTTCACGCTATCAGGGAAGTTTTCTGCCAAAAAATCTTCAACAATTCTCTCTGTATTTTCTGTATCCCCCCTATTCTGGTACTCCAATCACTCGTAGGTTATTCCTCTTGATATAGTCCCACATAATTCTTAGGGCTTCTTCATTTTTTAAAAATTCTTTCATCTGATTTTTCCTCAAATAAGTTGTTGTCAAGTGATTTGTAGTCTATCTCCTAATTCTGACTTCCATTGCCTCAGTTCGGCTCCTATGACTTTCTATTGAGTTGTCTAATTCTGAAATTTTATTGTTAATCTTTTGAATTTCTGTTTGCTTTCTCTCTATGGATTCTTGTAGACTGTTAAATTTGTCATTATGCTCTTAAGTTCCTCTATTGCTTTGTCTGTGTGTTCCTTGGCTTGTTCTGCATTTCGTATGATCTCCTTCCTGATATTTTGAAGAGCTCTGTATATTAATCTTTTGAATTCTACCTCTGATAATTTCAAGTTCTCTTCCTCATGAAGATTACTTGATTCTTTGTTTTGGGAGCTTGCTGAAGCCATCATGCTCTGCCCCTTTATGTGATTTGATATTGACTGTTGTCTCTGAACAATCAGTTATTGTATTTTTTTATTTTATGTTTGCCTACTGTGTCCTAGCTTCTTCTTTTGTTTTATTTTGATATGCTGAAATGGGCTACTCATGTGAGCTAATTTGATTATTTGTGCCTTTGAAGCTATCATGTCCTGTCACCAGGTGGTTAGGGCTGTTACTAGGTATGTGAGCTCAGGAGTTCGTTTACTTTTCTTGTATGGATTCAGCTCAGGTGTTCAGGTAGTCGGTCACCAAGTGTGTGGTGCAGGCTCTCATCTATAGTCCTAGGTGGATAGGGGTAGTTGGAGTAGGCACAGGTATACTGCAGAAGGAGGTCATGTGCTGAGCAAGGCAGGGGACTGATGGCTGTTCCTGAGCATCTGGGAGGAAAGTGTGTCCCTATTCCCTAGTGCTCATAGATGGGTGAATTTTGCAGGTGGACTATGGTATGGACACCTGGTGCTGTTGGCTGTAAGGACTGGGAAGCATCATTTATTCTTGGACCCCTGTCACAAGTCATTAGGTGCATGGATGGAGCCACCAGTCCTCAGGCCCCTGATGTGGGTAGGTGAGGACCCTGCTTAATGGGGTCATGAACCTGTCACTCTACTTTATAGATGATACAGTTGAAATTAAGCTTCATGTATATACCCTCTGCAGATCTCTGAAGTTCACTCTGTGCTCTCTTTTGGGTGCTCTGCCTATGAGCTCTTGACACCATGGTCTTTCTGGAGTCCCATCTCTGTCTCCTAAACTCAAGGAATCACTGGGCTCCATGTGGGTTTTTTCTCTCTGAGCTGTGGTCAGGAAACTTTTTAAAGGCAGTAAAATGGGCATCATAGTGTTCACATAATTTTTCCCCATTTTTCTAGAGATTGCTATCCTTTGTTGCCTGATGTTCAGTATCTTAAAGATGTTATTTTATATTTTTTGTTGAATTTTACTTGTTTTCAATGGGAAGGTATATCTGGTCCCTGTTACTCCATCTTAGCCAAAAGCAGAAGTCCCCTTTGCATTTCTTATGAGATTAATTGCAAGAACTAAGAGAAATACTATAAATATTAACTATTTCACTGATAAATGGAATTCAGCTGATGTTCTTAGTGGTTACTCCCTTGTTTATGAATGCTTTTAAGTAACAGTAGAATCAAAATGAATTAACTTAACTCTCTAAATTGGATTTACTGACAAGAACTTCAGTTAATGTTGTGAAAGACCCATTGGTTGAAATACTATAATTGGCATAATAAAACACCCTTTAAACTGTTTATTAAAATTTGTTCTGCCAGCAAATCTGCTCTTACTTGCATTCAACCTCCTATTCCCTTCCTTATTTTGAGCATTCCAAACCTTGCCAATTCAACAGGTGAAAACCTTTCAGAGTCCAGATTCTCATCAGAAAGAGAGAGGCTGAGTATTTTTCATTTTATTTAGGCTTTGAGTCAAGTGGTTCAGGGACTCATTTTTACATTTGTAGGAAGGGAGAGAGAAATCATGGGCTGATATATATAAACTCTGCAATTAAACTTATAGACTGAGCTCTGAGACCGAAAGGACTTTCTCATTAATAAAATATAAGCAAAATGGCCAGAAGGAACACTGGGAATGAAAGCATTTTAAGCAAATTGGAAACGGGATGGGGTCTTTGAGCTTCACGGACAGCTCTTGTCCTGGTTGGCTTCACTGTCCGGTCCCATTGGGTCAGGATAGCATTTCTGGCACCATCCCACTTCCCTGGTCCCATTAGTCGAAACTGGTATGGGCTGCAAGGGCCAAAGTATGCCTCCAGGGCCAGCTGGGGATCAGTAAGGAAGAGCCATGGGATGTTTGGCTTGGCCCCTATGAAGGAACCTAACTCATCCATGTACGTGATATAATCTGTCTGCAAAGTCTGGCTCTGGCCAAACCTGAGGAAAGAAAAGAACATGCTGAGATAAGTGTCACAGATGCAAACAGAAGCACTGTTTTCTTATCTTTTATCTCAGAAAAGTAACATTTTAATCAGCACCTTCAGTAATACCCCCACTCTTCTCTTTTTCTAAACATTGAATTGGGCGTTTGTTCTTTAGCTGTGAGCAAGCTGTTTCCATCCAAGTTTGATATCATTTTGGGTTCTTGCCTCTAGCCAAGTGGCCTGGAGTGAACTGACCCTAGGGTTTCAGGCGAGCGATTAACCTAGTTTACTCCTTAACATGATTATTCTTTATAAGACATTGCTTAGGATCTTCCCCAATGTTACATTTTTTAATACTGATGTGTTTTTAATTGGGTTTATGTATGATCTTAATATTGCTGCAGTTTATGAATATAGATTGTTTCATACTTTTAGTCAGAGTATAGACTTATTTGTTTATAGCAACCCTGGAGAACAGCTTATCATTTAAGTAATTAGATTAACATTTAGGCCTCTCTTTTTCCTCTTCTTTTTACTCTTTGGTCTTTAATACAAGGGGTAGTAAGTAGAGTGAACCACATAAAGTGTTAGCACATGGATGTGTCTGCCTCACAGAGCATCCTATGAATTGGATGAGGTAGTGCAGGTGAGGTACTTGTTGAGACTGTGGATTCCAGTTCTTCTTTAGGTCATTAGCCAATGACTGCCTTGGGACATTCAGGGAATGCCATGTTAGAGGCTTGAGGAGGAAAGAAACTGTACAAAACACTTTACAAACAGTATATAGTCATTTATTCATCCAAGTGTGCTTCATTATCTAATCATTCTTTCAAAATAGATTTTGATGTATAATTTGAAAAGGATTTACTTTTGTAGAAGTAATTAACATGAAAAAAGTACATTTAAATATTTGATGTCTAGCCACTTAAATGACTTTCTGCAAATCCCATTTATGTTGTATTTGAAATACATATTTGGATGAGTCAGAAGTGGATACTTTTTTAGTAGAAAATACTCCCAGATATCTGGTTAAAATATCTCTGCATGCCTTTTCTGTTCATTATTTGAGACATGAGCCATACCTTCATGAATGATTCTTTCTTTCCCTATAGATTTGTCTCTTCTTCCTAGAACACTTCTCCCAAATGGTTCAATACATACTCATCTATTATCATGTACAGGCAGTCCTGGACTTATGCCATATTTGAGTTATGATGAACTGCACTTATGACCTTCCTTTTTTTTTTTTGTACATCTTATGGTTAGTAATATGTACTACATGCAATGTTGCAGTGCATAACTTGCTGATGTTATCATTCTCATGCCAACCCCAAAAGACAAATAAAGGTGTGATTTATAAAGATACTGATAATAATAATGAAAATTAAAAAAAAAAAAGAGAGAGAGATATTCAGTTTACGTCAGAACTGACTTACCACGGTCATTGGAATGGAACCCCGTCGTAAGTCGAGGACTACCTGTATATATAATACACATGCTTGTTTGTTTATTGATTGATTGATTTTATTTTGAGGGGATGAGGAGGAGAGTAATTTTAGTTCCCAAGAAGATTCTAAATTCCTTGCTGGCAAAAAATATGACTTTCTTTTGGGAGAATACCCCGTTAATAACCACAACTACGTCTTGGAATTTATTCCCTATGCAGTACTGTACAAAATGCTTTACAAACAGTAGTTGGTCTCACACCAAGTCCATGAAGTAGCTATTGTTTCCACTGTATTACTATGAAGCAAATGAATTTGTGACTTGCTTAATGTTACACCACAAGCAGAATGGCAGAGCTTGGATTTGGATTCTAACTGATAATGTCCCATTCCAGGTCAGCCTCTCCTTGTGTGTCTTCCCAGGTTCACTGCCAACAGAGTAGCCTATGTAAATTATGAAAAGGAGCACCTTCTTCCAGACTAATGCAGCCCTGTGGCAAATGGAGTGTGGACTGGAGTTTTAATCTCATCTTGGCCTCGTCCCTTTGTCCACTGCTCAAGTACAACTATTTGTAGTGGCCCTGTGGCCTCTCCTCTTTCCTACTGAAAGTCATATTTGTTGTGTATGGAGTGTCATTTCAGGGGATCCAGGAAGCTGTCCCTGCTTCTTAGGTGCTTCCCAAGTTACTAGCTGATGCCTGAATTCCACAATTAAAGACCCATCCTTTCTCTCCCACTCCTTAAAGACTTTAAATCCGTCTGGATGAAGTAACAAAACTCATGTCATTTATACCTTAGTGGGAAAGCATTTAACATATATTTTCTTAAAAGAAGTTTATGATGGACAATAAAGTGTAGAGACACCTGAGCCTCTGGGTGCATCTAATGGACAGGAATAGGGTGGCAGAGGGGAGGAAAGTTTGAGGACCAAGCAATTCAGTGAAGATCAGCTGTGTTCAGCACTGACTCTATTACCTAGAATGATGCTATAGTGCACAAGAATTTCTAGTGATTAGTTTATTGGTTGAGTAAAAGTAAGAAGAGCAATAAATTGGGCAAGTGAACTCTATTTAACTCTTCTTTTGGTTTTCTTACCACAGCAAACTTGATGTCACTGCTCAGTTTCCAGCTAGCTAACTTGCTAACATGTGGTTGATCAGGAAGGAGGTCTTGGAGAAAGCTCTAGAGCAGTTTTTCAACCCTAGCACTATTGACATTTTGGGCTGGATAATTTTTTGTTTTGTTGGGGCTACCCTGTGCACTGTAGGGTGTTTAACAGCATTCCTGGCCTCCCTGGTGGCGTAGTGTTTAAGAGCTATGGCTGCTAAGCAAAAGGTTAGCAGTGTGGATCTACCAGGTGTTCCTTGGAAACTCTATGGGGCAGTTGTACTCTGTCCTGTAGGGATACTATGAGTTAGAATTGACTCAACAGCAATGGGTTTGGTTTGGTTTTACCCACTAGAAGCTAGTAGCACCCCCTATTGTGACAACCAAAATGTCTCTAAACATTGTCAAATATCCCCTTGGAGGCAAGAATCACCCCCGTTTGTGAACCAGTGCTCTAGAGTTATACAGAAGTATACTGATTGTTATTTGCCCAACTAAAATCACTTGATTATAGCAAGTGTTCCAAAAATGTAAACTTTAACTAGTGACAATATTATAGTATCTATTACTGTCTTCTTACATATATGAAAGAGACTTTTAGGACTCATTTCATTAGCAAGTACAATCTCTTACCACTTGAGTTTTTTCCCCATTTTTTCATCAATGTCATCCATCATTTCTTTCATGGTTGGTAGGATACATGAGTCTAGTGAAGAGAGAAATAATGAAAAAGACAAAGAAATCAGAAATATATAATAGCGTGATGAAACTCATTCAGTATTTATGAACAATATCCCTGAAAGTTTTTGTATCTAGAGGATTATCTTTGGCATCTTTAGCAGAACAATTCACAGAAATCAAGACTCGAGAAGTTAATGGACCCTCTCTGGGAATGGCAAAGCTGGCCTGCAGTAAGCTAGTGACCACAAAGTTTGCAGCTTTGAATCACCCAGTCTTATATTTCTGCAATATTATCGGTGGGTCTCATCTCCAACATACCTCAAATACACGATAGCGTAACAGTTTCTTCATATCTCGTGCCTGCATTTCTCTTACTATAAACTTCTCTCAGGAAATAATCAGGTAAATAGTTCACTCTAAAGCAATTAAAATTAGGTAATGGAAGGAAGCATGGAATTTCAAGCATCAGCCTGCAGCCAGGGAGAATGTTTTGAGGAACAGCAGAACATTCTGAATTTTCTGAAAATCTCACTACATCAGTGGAGGCCTCTTCTGCTTGCTGATTGGAGCTCATTGGCCTTTGTTATGGATTGAATTTTGTCAGCTTGGTTAGGCCATGATTCCCAGTATTGTGTGGTTGTCCTCCATTTTGTGATAGATGTAATTTTCTTAGGTGTTATAAACCCTTATCTCTGCCTGTGGTTAGTGAGGCAAGATTGGGTTATGTTAAAGACGATTAGGGTGGGATTGTAATACCCTTGCTCAGGTCACATCCCTGATCCAATGCAAAGGGAGTTTTCCTTGGGTGTGGCCTGCATCACCTTTTATTTTACAAGAGATAAAAAGAAAGAGAAGTGAGCAGAGAGTGGAGGACTTCATACCACCAAGAAAGAAGCACCGGGAGCATAGCTCGTCTTTTGGACCTGGGGTCCCTGTGCAGAGAAGCTCCTAAACCAGGGGAAGATTAATGGCAAGGACCTTCCTCCACAGCCAACACAGAGACAAAGCCTTCCCCTGGAGCTGGTGCCCTGAATTTGGACTTCTAGCCTACTAGACTGTGAGAGAATAAACTGCTGTTTGTTAAAGCCATCCACTTGTGGTATTTCTGTTATAGCAACACTAGATGACTAAGACGGCCTTCTACAATGGCAGAAAGCTATTAAGGCATTTGCAGTGCATCAACACTTCCCAGTCATTGTTAGCCTCTCACCCTAGCCTGGCGGTATCCCCGGTCAGATATTTGCTCTGCCCTCTACTAGAAAGTAAGCTCCATAAGTGCCAGAATTTTGGTCTGTTTTGTTTGCTGCTGTTTCCTAAGTGCCAAGACAGAACCTGGCACATAATAGGTGCTCAGTAAATATTTGCTGAATGAATAAATGATATCCTATGTTTCGTGTAAATTTCTTGACTTATGAATTATATTCAATCTTCCCATAAAACTTCAGGTTCTTGGCACTGCTGTGCCTTTCAAGAGAAAAAGACTACAGAAGTATTTTACAGGGGAGTGCCTGTATCACAAAGATGCTTTCCCTTACAGAAGATTTCATGGCAGAGTTCATTTAAATGATGATTCTCATGGCGCATTTGAAATAGAAGCTTATTTATATAACAAAATTTTTAGAAAACATAAATACACAGTCTGATTTTAATATTTGCTTCATTACCTATAATAGTCTAAGTTTTAATGGACACTATGTTAGGTAAGGTGTACCTGTCAATTAAGATTCTCAAGCATTTGAATAAAAGGATATTTTCAATAATAATAGTGATCAACGTGATTCGAGTAAGTTAAATCAATGTATTTGGGACATTGCCTTTCCCATGTAATCCTCATAATTTCCTCATATAAGGATACTTTAGTCCTCGGAGACCATGGGATCTAGGGTGGAAGGAGGGGGATTAAGATTGTCAATAGAGTAGTAGTGGACTGACATTGTTATTCTGATCCAAATTGATACCAGTGAGGTCCCCTTCAGCATGCTGCCAATGCCCACCAGGGCCCTTCCAACCTATGCAAATCCAGCAGTGGGTCCTTGATACTGCAGTTATCCTACTGGTATCCCTCTCTTGTTGAAAACCTTGCAAAATCCTCCAAATTCCCCTAGGAGAAGTCTAGACTCTTTTACACAGCTTATAAGGCAGTCCATGTTCTGATCTCTTCCTCCATTTCTTGCCACTCCCTCTCTGCTTTGTATTCCTGTCCACCAGCAAGTTTCTGGTTACTCACACACTCCATGCTATTCCTCGCCTTTATGCCTTTCCACATGCTGTTTCTTAGCATGGAATAATTCACTGCCTAACTCCCCTTATCAGAACACCCTAAAATTTCCCCTATAGTGGTATTTCTCCCCCACCTCCCATTTTAAGCTCTGTAGGGTCAAGGAGTATGTCTGTCTTGTTCCAGTTGTATCCTGAGTCCCTAGAACAATGCTTGGCATATAGTTGGTGTTCAATAAATGTTTGTTGACTAAATGAACGAGAGAATGGCCCACCTACCTGCAAACACTTTAGCAGCCCAGCGGGCCTGCAGATCAGCTGTGGGGATAGCAGCCCCAAGGGACTGGACAAAGCCAATCACAGCCAAGGTTGGCTTCTCCATTTGTGGGGGGAAGACTCCTTTAAACAAGGTGACCTCATTGTTTCTGCTTTTGATGATGGAGTCATCAAGGAAGGGGTAAGCATAATCATAGCCTGTTGCAAAGATGACAGAGTCAATGGCCTCAAACACTGTCCCATCCTCAAATACAGCTGAGGTGTCCGTGAACTCCTTCACATTGGGCTTAATGGACACAGCGCCACACAGTATACGAGATGGAAGCTCGTCATTGAACACAGGCTCTTTCCTCAGAGGACTGCAGAAACAAGAGACAAGGGCCCATGCTATAAAGTATCTCGTTTACAAGAAATGCTTGCAACAGCTTCCTGCATTGAAACCAAATTAGAGCAGTTAAAAGTCAGCATGAGGGCCACTGAACTATCTCCTCCTGTGGTGGTTTCTTTCCTGTTGCCTTAAGATTTTCTGTCTGAGCTGCCTCTTTTGCCCCATTGAAACATGAAGATTCTTTCATGGGTACTTATACCATTAATGTAGGATATTCACCAAATAGATGAAAATAAAATAAATTCCTAGATATAATAAAGTGGTTAAGAGTGCAGACTCTGGAGCCAGATGGCCCAAGTTTATAACCCAGCTCCATCTTTTATTAGCTGTTCCTTCTCTGTTTCCTTATCTGTAAAATGGGGATAATGACAGAATCTACCTCACAGGGTTAAGGATAAATTAACAATTATCTATAAAGGACAAAAATAGTGACCGGCACATAAAGCACTATATTTCAAGTGAACTATTATTATAATTTTAAGGCATGACCTTACATGGAGAAATCAGATTTGCATTGTTGGGATGTTTTATTGCCACGTTTGGTTTTGTTTCATTAGCTGTGGTCACAAAAGAAAGTATAAAGACCTTAATACTGTACTTGCCAAAATTCTAGGAATATATTTTTCTTGGTGACATACTTCATTTTGACTTAAGTTTCCTTTAGGAACTTTGGAATTTTCTCCAAGTATCTCAGACACGAAGAAGCTTTGTAAATCTTGGAATTTGTCTCTATACTTCCACAATTTTTTCCAGCTCTATATCTCTGCAACCTCTCCTTTTACCTTAGAAGGTGGCAAAAATCTAGGTCAACTAAACCTGTCCTCTTCACTCCCCTTGCCCCCTCTTCACACACCAGAGAGACGAGAGAGAAGACATCATTGACAAATAATTTAGGCAAATTATGAACCCTTTCAGAGGGGGAGTTTGGTTCTTGGAAAGAATGGATTTCCAAAACTACATTTTAATTGCCTAGAAGGCAAAGTCAAAATATAATTTGCAGTTATACTCTTACAAGACAAAACACTCTGACCCATCTCAGACTTCAAAATTTCTATGATAATAAACATAATTTTAAATGCATAACATCAACATTTTTCCCTTTAGGGATTGTTGTGGATTTAATTCTGTCCTCCAAAAATATGTGTTGTAAATGCTAACCCCTATACCTGTGGATGTAATCCCATTTGGGAATAGGATTTTCTTTGCTATATTAATGAGATCATATCAGTGTATGGTGTATCTTAAGACAATCACTTTTTACATATAAAAGGAAGCTCAAATGGGGGAAAGATAGATGCCACATGGAGATCTCCAAGGAACCCAGGAATAGAAGCTGAAAGGGTCCAAAGAGAGAGAGCCTTCCCCTAGAGCTGATGCCCTAAATTCTGACTTCTAGCCTACTAAACTGTGAGAAAATAAATTCCTGTTCTTTAAAACCGCCCACCTGTGGTATTTCTGTTACAGCAGCACTAGGAAACTAAGACAGGGATATAGCAATCTGAAAGACTTGGTAGAATAAGTGCTCTGGAAAGAGGATTTGTCTCCTAACCTGGCATTTGTTAATCAGATTCACAGACCTCACTTACTTTTCCTTTAATTGTTTCTGTAAATACAATGAAACTTTTTTTTGCTAGTATGGATCAAAAAATGACATTTCTTAGTGAATTTTTTTCATACCTACTTAACTATTGTTTTTCTACTGCTATGCACAATCTTCTACCTAGAATGGCTTCCTAATGAGTAGGTACTGAGATTTCTCTATAGAGAAGTAAAACATATAAGTGTTATTAATTTTACAGGCAACAGCAGTTCTCTGAATCTCTACTGCCTTACATGTTCCATGCCTCCTGACTATTCTGCAAAACTGTCAACCCTTCAGGGATGGAGGGGACGTGCACTTTTGTTTTGTGACTTCCTATGTGTTGAGACATGCTGATTAATAGTACTTTGTGAATTGCCCCTTAGAAGTAAATTAGAAAATTTGAGACTAATAAGAACCAATATTTGTAAAGCTTTACAGTTCACAAGGTGATTTTTCTATGTTTCATCTTACCATTGCAACAGTCCTGAGGAGTAGATGTTATTATTGCTATCTTCCATTCACCCATAAGCATGGACAAGATATTTCTTAAGCAATTTATGAGTTGGCTCAGCCCACGGATGAATGGGTGATACAAACCTCAAAGTTCTATACTATAGCTTGTAGCTGCCATAAATGAATCTTGCATGTTAGGTGATCTAGCTGCCAGCTCCATGTTTGTTATGTGGCCATAGATATTTGAGTTCTTTTGACTGCCCTTTCCCCACTAGACTAAGTTTAATGAGACTTTCACCCCATATGTAGGTCTCTGGGCATACTTTGTCACCTGTACAGTCCTTAATTCAACCCTACCAGCCTCACTGAGGCAACTAAAGACCTAGACAGAAAGAATTAAATTTAAACTAGTGCTTCTCTTTTCTGAATGATAAAATACGTATTATTTGTAGTACCCATTTAAAGGCATCAGGCCATAGTTCTCATGCTTAAACCATGTGTTCATCTTCTTGACATATAACCAGTCAGACACAAATGAAGGCAGGGCATTCCGGAGAAAAGATGCAAAGCGGGTAATGTACACCATGTCCCAAGGGTAGCCATCATCCCAAACCCGACTCATGACCCAGGAACCACTTCTGGTGCTGATCATGACCTGATGGGAGAAAGGCAACAGAGATTTTAGTATCACTCTGTAAGAAATAAGCAACCCAACACAATTCTGATGTATACTTTTCCTATACATTCCCTCAATATCCAGGCAGGAATACTTTTAAAGAGGTGGATTAAGATGAATCGTCCATAATTAAAACTAGGTAGAGGTAGGACTACTCCTTCTCACCTTTCCAGAGGGCTAATGCCTAGCTGTTGAAAGAGTTAGAGCCATCTTGGAACAAGAGGGCTTTGTATTCAACTGTGACAGGTTTAATCTTCATAGACTCAGAGACTAAGATGGCAGGTCTGGAAAAGACCAGCCAATGCAGTGGTGGTAGTAGGTGGGTTTGGATGGGGAGAATGTAGCTAAATCACTTGCTGAAGTTGGTCTGAGGAGATGCCAAGGAATTAATTCTGTTCTCTGCTTTCTCTTTCTATTCCCTAGTCTCTTCTTCCAGTCCTCCTGCATACCCACTCTCTACTGGGCATCCCAAAACAAGGAAGTTGCTGTAGTCCTGAGAGCCTGGGTGCTTGTCAAGTTTTAAAAAGTAGGTACTCCACCTGTGAGGTTTTTGGTTCCTGGGAGGTTACCTTTAAACCTTTGGAATGTCTCTAGTGATTGAAATGTCTTTGTTATCTATGGAGAGCAACAGAACCACACCTGACAGGTTAGGCCAATGAAATGACTCAGGTTTGGGGCTGGCAATGCCAGAAAGATCCAGTGATAGTGACATCAGCCCAACCTCTGGGAAACAGGATGGAAATTGAGTTTAGTTATGTGACAGATGATTCAATCAATCATGCCTACATAATGAAACTCCAATAAAAACTCTGGAATTGAAGCTTGAGAGAGCTTCTTGGTTGGTGAAAGACACTGCTGTGCAGTAGGGTAGCACGGAATCTTTGGGACATGGAAACTCTGTTTGAAACCCTGTTAAACTTTGCCCTATGCATCACATCTCTATGCTAGTCCTGATTTACATCCTTTGTAATAAAGCTGTAATTGTAAGTATAGCACTTTCCCAAGTTCAGTGAGTCACTCTAGCCAATTATCAAACCCAAGGGGGCAGGGAACTACCGAATTTGTAGCCAGCAGGTCAGAAGTGAGGGTGTCCTGGGGACCCCCAAACTTATGGTTGGTGTTTAAATTCTTGGGCTGACTTGGCATTCTGGAGGACTGTGCACCTGAATGTTTGAGATCTGACCTAACTCTGGGTGTTTAGGGTTAGAAGAAGAACTGCATTTGTAGGTGGTGTCAAAAGAAGACTTTTAAGAGTTGATGGCAAAAAGATACAGACACCTTATCATCTTTGTAATATTTCATAGGAGTTTTACTTTTAAAAAATTTCTTAGGTTTTCTTTATATCCTGTTTAAGGATATATTTATTGAGTACCTTTTTCTTAAAAAAAAAAAAAAAATAAAGATTCTTACGGGTCTACTGGTCATGTGTAACTCAGCCTGGAGTCCTCTGGGAAGCTTTCCTTGACTTCGTCTAGGCTGTTAGGTTTCCTTTTCGAGATGCCACCAACATCACACCTAACTCCACTGGAAGACTCAATACCTCTTTTTGTGATGGTCTGTGTACCTGTTACTCCCACCTCCGCCTGTTGACTGCTTCTTAAAGTCAGGAACTATGTAGTCTAGTTTATTTCTGGTTCCCCAAAGCCCAGCATAGTTCTGACACATAATAGGTGCCCAATATTTTTTGAGCACCTGCTATTGGATGAATAAATGATAGCAAGAAACAAATCTTGTGTATCTTCCAGATCTTCAGGGTGGTAAACACAGTCCTTTTTGCATGGTCCAAAAACGAAAAAAAAAAAAAGAAACCCATTGCCATAGAGTAGATTCCAACATAAGAAATACTGTTAAATAAAAGTAGAAGCTCACTAGCAATTGGTCTACTTGGAGGTGATCAGAACATAAAATTAAAACAACACACATAAACACTCATACGCACACACAGACTCATACACGTACCTATAGTTCCAGCAGAATGTACTTCCTTACCAGCATGGGTCATATTACCTTGCTTCAAGTGAAGAATGGCTCACATTCTCCTTGATTTAAAGGACATATACAAAAGAACTGCCAGAAGAATGAACAAACCTGTCTTGGAAGAAGTACAGCCAGAATACTCAATAGAAGCAAAGACGGCGAGACTTCATCTCACATACTTTGGACATGTTATCAGGAAGTGACTAGTCCCTGGAGAAGGACATCATGCTTGGTAAAGTAGAGGGTCAGTGAAAAAGAGGAAGACCCTCAAAGAGATGGATTGACACAGCGGCTGCGACAATGGGCTCAAGCATAATAACAAATGCGAGGATGGTGTAGGACCGAGCAGTGTTTCATTCTGCTGTACATAGGTTTGGTATGAGTCAGAATCGACTTGATGGCACCTAACAACAACAATAATACAAAAGGTGGATCTCTTGTGGAATGATGTGACACGCACCATCCACAGTGCCTAGGCTGTTGATTTAGTAGCACAGGCCTAACTTAGATTTGTTTCCCGAAACATTTTCAATCACGTACCTGTGCAGCCAGACGGCTGAGCTCAACAGCAATGTCGGATCCAGAGTTCCCCAGGCCAATCACTAGGACCCTTTTCCCCTTGAAGGCTCCTGGGTCCTTATAGTCACGGCTGTGGAGGTAGTTGCCTTGAAACTTTTCTAGGCCTAAGTGGAACGTGTGGGGTGGTTTGAGCTGATTCTTTACAAAATCATGAAGACTCACTTTTTCATTTTTTTTTTTTTTTGGCCTTCTATTGTCAGTCTTAACTAAAAAAAAAAATTTCTTAGCTAAAATGCATTTACCCTTTCAGTGGTTTTTGATACTACATCCCCAAATAATTATTGTTAGTACCTTGAAAACAAAAACAAAAAACAACCCAAAGTTAATGCATGGGAACTTACAGCTTGATAATAATAATAGCCAATATTTATTGAGTACTTACTGTGGGTTAGGCCCTCTGCTAAATGGGTTACATATTTTAACTCATTTAATCTTGATAACATCCCTGAATGGTAGGTGCTAGTATTATCCCTATTTTAAAAGATGAGGAAATTGAGACAAAGAAGTCAAGTGACTTGCCTAAGGTCATGTGGTAAGGAATTAGTGGAATAAGGAGTTGAGCCAAGGTATTCTGAGTCCACACTCAGAACCACTAAATATACTGCTTCTTAACATTAGTGGTTGTAATCTTCTGTCCTCCTTGTTCTCTACTCTTTCTGATATTCACTTTGGCCTGTGAACATCATGCCTTGAGATGGGAACTCTAATATCTTTGAATGGAGATGTGCACCTGTTACAAGCAAGGAAGGAAGAAAAGAAAGAAGGGAGGGAAGGAAGAAAAGTGAAAGGAGGGAAGGAATAAAGGGATGAAGGAAGGAAGATAGGTTGCTGTGTATTGTATTTATTAGATTTTGCCACTTTAGGGTAGTAATGGAGTGCCCTCCGCACACTCATACACAATCACTGAGATTTCTAAAGTTAATTTGCAAATTGTGGGTATAGAAGAAATTAGGAAACCTAGATTTCCTCTATAAGTAACATAAGAAAATGAGACTTTGTGGTGGCTGGACTCTACTACTTTGGATGTAACTCCACTCAGAGACTCCATGAGCAGTCAAGACTTACACTTGAGTTATTTTCCCTAAACTCAGAACCTTTGTCATAGTCTGATCTGTGACTCACAGGTTTTTTTATTCTTTTAAGATATGGTTTAGAAGGCGATTTATTACTATATTTCACATCTTATCAGACTTAAACACTTTTTTGTTTAAATCTTTAGAGCCTTAAGAATAATCACTATGTACAATCTCTGTAAAAATCTATTTAAACCCTTGATGTTTGCATATAAGTCCCCCAAATTAATATATAATTTCCAACCTTACCAGGAAAGGAATTAATTGGCAGATTGGGGTATACATGATGTCCTGAACAAATCATTACAGCATCAAAAATAGTAGATTCCTGATTCCCATCCTTTTCAGTAACAATATCTCATTGACCAGTGACTAAGAAACTGGGACATTTCTTTATACTGGAAACCACGGTCTTAAAAACAAACAGACAGACAAACAACCACAATGAAAAAAAAAACAGACAAATTCTTTCTATTGATAATACTATATTATTTATTTTTTCTTGCAGTATTTCTTTGGAGGAAATAATTGTTTTGCGCTATCTTGGTCATTGAGAAATGTATGCAAAGACGTTAAAATAGGAATCACAGTGAATCTTCAAATCTCATAAGAAAAATTACTCACTGGGTTATATTTACCTTTTAACATAGAGTTAATAGATTTTGGGTAAATAACAGTGTTCTTGTGAAACGTACCATGTAACAAATTCATGTTTTGTTTTCTTACTGCTATTCTCTATTGACATCCATGGATTCTTTCTTTTCTGAACTCACATTCCGCCTACTCAATAAATAGGGAAATGTCTCAAGGTTCACTCCTTGGTCTTTCTTTTGCTGTATGTATATACTAGCCATTGGAAATATTAGCCACTTCCCTAGCATGAACATGCATATATAGCCTTGGTCTTCCTTCTGGTATCCAGTCCAGCTTGACCTTTCTGTTTATAGGGAATAATGCTTCCTCAAATGTAGTATATTTATGATACAACTGCTTCTATTTTCCCTAAAACTTGCTGCTGACTTTCATATTTCTCTTATTGATAACATGAACCTCCCAATCACCTGCTTCAGACCCATCATTTGTTTCGAGTGATATTTCTCCATTCTTGATTTATGCCTAAACAATCATTTCTCTCAGGATCTTACTCTCTCTTCCTTTCTATGACTGCTAACAGTGCCTTGGTTCAAGTCTTTATCACTCCATCACATGGACTGCTGCCTGTCTCCAGTCTCTGATTTCCTAAACCCATCCTTAATGCTGCTTGTCATGCATTTCTAAAATACCATGTTGATTCTATGTTCTGCTCAAAGTTATTTCTATTACCTCACAGCTTATAGGATTTATTCCACACTTCTAATGCCATAATTCAAAGCCCACACAGTTTTATCCCCGTCTACTCTTCTGGTCTTATTTTCTGGTATTTCCACAAGCTCTTCTGGGATAGAGATTTCTAATATCCATTCTCCCCTTTTTCCTTACTAACAGAAACTTGATTTTGTTTGGAGTGGCAATGTGCCCAGCAAAGGGATGTATTTCCCAGGCTCCTGTGCAACTAGAGCGGCCTATGAGATACAAGCAAGGTTGTTGGGTAGGTTTTTCAGAGGAATTGAGAATGAGAACTGATTCATCTGAGAGTACTTCCTTTTGCCATTCATTCTTCTTTTTTTTCTTGCCTAGGAAGCGATTGTGAAGGCTGAAGCTCCAGTGACTGTCTTGGAGTATGAGGCAACATTGATGATACAAGCCTTGTGCTAAGAATTGTGAAACTGAGCCCCTGAGGACTGTGGATACCATTTCTGAATGACCTCACCTTGGTCTTCTTTTGCATGATTGTAAAATAACCTTCTATCTTTTTAAAGCCACAAATACTGGTTTCCTGATATATATACACCTTCTCCTCACTTATTGACTATCTCGTTATCCAACATTTCTCATTTATGACAACAGTAAAAAATCTACCATCCTGCTATTTTGAGCATTAACGATGTATGTCTGGCAATAATGAACAATGAAGTGAAAGACAAGAGTAATACTAGCTGTGATGGTTCAGGTTATGTGTCAACTTGGCTGGGCCATGATTTTCAGTGGTTTGGCAGTTATATAATGATATAACCTGGCAGTTATGTAATCATGTTTAATTTGGCAGTTATGTAACAATGTAATCATCCTTCATTTTGTGATCTGATGTGGTCATCCTCCATTTTTGCATAATGCCGATTTTCACATAAGGACCTGGTCTTTGGAACCTAATCATGTGGGTAAGTGAGGAGAGGGTGTATAGCTAAATCTAATCTGAGCCACTTCCATTCTAACAAACTTGGTTTGCTCACTGTTCCCCAAACTTTCAGGGCATTATCCACCTCTCTACCTTTACTTGCAAAAGGAGCCCTTGTAGCCCGATGGTTAAACGCTTGGCTGCTAACTGAAGGTTGGCCGTTGGAACCCAACAGTCACTCTGTGGGAAGAAAACCCTAATGATCTGCTCCCATAAAGATTACAGCCTAGGAGACCCTATGGGACTGTTCTACCTGTCCTGTAGTGTTATTGTGAGTTGGAATCGACTTGACGGTGTATAGCAACAAGTTTACTCGTGCCATTCACTCACACCAAGTACAACTCAAATCTTACTTCCTCTAGAAAACTACCTTCCCAAAACTGTTGACTGCTGCATCATGATGATTTCCATAGTATTATTTTATCTACAAACTAGACTACTTTTTAACATTTTCTTTTCTTTTGATATAAACTTCTAAAATTTTATATTGTTACTCACACTTAATAGATTTATTTTGATCTCCAATTAGATTATAAACTTCCTGAGGGCTGACTTCTTTTTTGATATATAGCACATAGCACAATACTTAGCACACAGTAGAACTTCATTAACATTGGTTGATATTACTACCATAAATTGAGGCAATAATGACAACTGGAAATTTTTATTTCAACTGTATTTTTGGAACTATTCCAGGTAAAGAAATTATGCAGATATATTCCCAATTATAATTTTGCTGTTTGTTTTTTTCACTATGCATATGTGTTCTGCATTTAACAGTAATACACTGAGGATAAGGGTTCCAAAAAATGTAAAGCATTATTATTATTTACAGTAACAATGCCCCAATATCATAACTTCTAAGGCTGTTTCAGTGAGACAGACTGCTTCTATATGGACTTTCTTGCCATGGTCTTGTAACTCCCACCAAAAGGTTGGGTTGTTGTTGTTAGGGACCGTTGAGTAGGTTCTGATTTATAGCAATCTTCTGTACAACAGAACAAAACACTTCTTGGTCCTGCGCCGTCATCACAATCATTGTTATGCTTGAGCCTATTGTTACAGCCACTGCGTCAATCCATCTCACTGAGGATCTTCCTCTTTTTCACTGACCCTCTACTTTACCAAGCATGATGTCTTTCTCCAGGGACTGGTCCCTCCAGATAACAGGTCCAAAGTATGTGAGATGAAGTCTTGCCAACCTTGCCTCATATGAGCATTCTGGCTGTACTTCTTCCAAGACGGATTTGTTCATTCTCCTGGCTGTCCATGGTATATTCAATATTCTTTGCCAACACCATAATTCAATGGCATTAATTCTTCTTTAATCTTCTTTATTCATTGTCCAGCTTTCACATGCATATGAGACAACTGAAAACACCATGGCTTGGGTCAGGTGCACCTTTGTCCTTAAAGTGACATCTTTGCTTTTTAATACTTTGAAAAGGTCTTTTGCAGCAGATTTGCCCAATGCAATGTGTCATTTGATTGCTTGACTGCTGCTTCAATGGACATTGATTGTGGATCCAAGAAAAATGAAATCCCTGACAACTTCAATCTTTTCTCCATTTATCATGATGTTGCTTATTGGTTCAGTTATG